TCTGCTCCAGTGAATGGGATGCCTGTACTTGGGGTAGCAAAGTGTATTCGAGTAATGGAGTAGTTTAACTGGCCACATCATCATGAAAGAGCTTTCATAGTTGAGATGAGAGACCTTGTACTTCATAAAGTCTGGAATGGTGCTGGCAACACTTAATTATTTAAAGTCACCCTTCCACATTAATCTAAATATGAATAGATTCTTGTGCTTTCTGTAGAAAAAGCACCTCTGTCCTCTAAAGTGCTTTGCAGAAATTCTGAGTCACAATAACCTTCTTGCCTGGAGTCCCACAAGGCATCAGCACCAGAGATGGGAATAAAGTCCAGAATCCCAACCTGTAACCTTTCCTGCACTGACTGGGGATCATGCTTCCTCCTGGGGAGTCCTAACACATTATTCTACCGCTATAAAATTGCACTGAACTAAGAAAACAGGTAAGGAATAAAAATAAATCATGGAAAGTAGGAATGAAAAAAATTGAACAAAGGTGGTTTTATAATCCTCAGAACAAGAAGAAACTTGCTAGTTTGATGTCAGCTGACCGAAGGACTCCTATGCTAGTACTGCAAAATTAACAAGGGTTTAAACATATAATCAAGTTTAACAAGTTACTATGTATCAGCACAAGCATGGTAAACCATTTCATAAGCCCACTTAGCCCATGACAAATGCAAGACAACTTGGCTTAGCATGTTTCTCTTTCCTCTGGGACTAAACTGTTACACTTTTAGTGCAGAAAGACAAGCTGGTTTTGAGACTCTTTGTAGCACAGTAATTTGCTAAGTTGTGGTGGCTTGACTTTATGTCAAACTCCCTAACTCTGCTAAGAACATAAGGCTAATGGGATAAGGGGAAGTGAAAAAGCATTTCCTTGCCAAATGGTTTTTTAACAGGCTTGAAAATGATGGTGACAACCGTGTAAAAAGCTTTTCTACTGTTTGATCAGACCATCATAATTTCCAGCCTTCTACAGCCTGGTACTCCTCCACCTCTTCTTGTCTCCACATATAGTTACCACTCCTAATTGCACCTGCCTTTTCAGTTTACTTGGCACTAGCTCTATAAAAACATTGGCAGTGAATGATTAGCCATTAGATATAAGACCATTAATATAACTATGCTTTAGGTAGACATTCAGAGGATGGAATCTAAAACGACAGAAGTCTTCCTAGCCACAGAACTCCTGAAGTATCTGCCTTGTAAGCAAACACCCTTTGTGCTTTAGGAGACTTGCCCTCTGCAGGTGGGACAGCAATGGCTTTCTATACTGCTTCAGCTGAGAATTTTAGTTGGCGAGGCAGTTTGTAGCCAGGCCTCCTGACCACAATACCTTTTATAGTTGTAATGCAAATGGGATGTACCGTACTCTTCATTCTGATCATTCTGAACTTCAGCAGAGACACAGGCATATAGCTAAACCCTGTCTATTTTGATGCTTTTAGGGCCCAATTCAAATTTTCAACCAACTTTGGTATCACTAGGACTTTAAGGATGTGCCCAGAGGCTTTGCTGAATTGGGGCTTTTGGCTTATCATCAAATTAAGGGAAAACATGCTGTAACCACTCACCTGTCATAGCTGTAGTGTATGATACTAATCTCCACATTTATTAAACACATGCTCCCTCTGGAGCTGGAGATGATACAGTAACAGCTGTTTTATTCTGGTTTCTTTTTAAGTCATGAGGAAACAAACACAAACGTGTCTCCGGTATAATTCACAGTGTTCACACCTACTGTTGCAATTAAGATGTACTAAGATAAACAACTGTTAAGTTCTCCGTATCTTTTACAATCCATTCTCTCTCCAATTCTCTCTCCCCATTGTTGCCATCATTATTGTGAGTAAACTAGTACTGAAATCCGACTCAGCAAAGGGAAATTAAATTTTATGCAAAAATAAATGAGGTAAGTTGTACTGGGCATAGTATCCTCCCAAAAGATACTGAGACTAAACAGAAGAAATCAGTAGGCCTATAATGAAGACAGTGAAATAAATCAAATACTGGGAAACCAGGGTTTGCCCTGACTTTAATGTCAGCCTGGCCTCCCGTTGGTATAAAATTCATATTTCTCTGTGGATCGTTAATCCTTTTTGTCCACAGGAAATAATAAGAACACTTCTAGACGGCAAGCAAACATGTCATTTGGGACACAAGGATGACATTAAAAGCCCCTACCATGAACTCCAGTGTGGCTTTTAACCACAGCTTGTGGGTAGGAGCACAGTGGTACAATACACTCCCGAAACACTGGGACAGGCACAGTGCATCTCTGGAAGCTGAGGAAATTCACACAGCAGCCGACAATTTTAAGGAGGGTGCCTCATACCAGAAGACACCTTTCCCTTGGCTGGTTAGTGCAAAAAGGGACATATTCCTTCCTCTGCTCAACCCCCAGGAGACTATTCAATGCCCCTTTTTCAACTCTGAAACTACCACATCACTTGAATGTGCTGATGAGCTCAAAGCATGTGATCAGCACCAGCCTCGCTAATGGCCAAGGCAGGTGAGCTGGGCCTGCAGACAGGGCATTGCTTAGGCTTGACACTGCTCCCTCCATTCTGAACTCATCCCAAGTCCAAGTACGTCCTAAGCACCTTGCAATGCTTCTCCCTTTTTCCCAAGGCATTTGAAAACAGGAGGGAAAAGGTGGTAGCGAACTGCATGAAGAACTTTGTGGTTGATTGTTTTAGACTAGCTGAGTCCTTGAACAGACTTTAGGTAATGTCAAGGACACTGAGATTGTGTGACTGCACATGCATTTTTCAGAGACAGAAAAGTAATCCCACTGCAATTAATGGATCTTATTATGCTCAAAGTCAACAAGCTTGCTAAAGGGCTTTGGCAAGTCAGCGCCTTTGTGTTTGGATTGCAATGCTAGCTGTGTGGTGTGCCTTTGTCCACTTCAGCCTTGTTTACCAACAGAGGTATAGACACAATCTAGCCCTAGGCACAATTCTGGCTAAATATGTTGATGCGTATTTTTGCGTTCCAACAGCTTCTGTAGCGGCGCTTACAAGTGAGACAGATGAAAGTGAGTAAACACAGATATTAAAAAAGCCATGTACTTTCTCACCGTGCATGTTTACTATTTGCAGTTCAGTCACCTCTGACAACTGAAACAGATCATTTCATTTCATTTCCTTTGTCCAGCATACCCACTTGATGTATTTGTGTGGGGGATTATGGCACTACAGTGTAAAGTTTGCTGTTATTGTAAATTGGCACTTTATTTTTGAAAAGCTACAAACCATTGTTCATAAAACACTTTGCAATCACCATCAGTCTATTTGGTGGGTTGCTTGGTTTTTTTCAGATCTAAAATAATTTGAAGATGCTGCTTCAAATTAAATGTCCATGTATTATATTACATTTTCTTGGTAAACAAGTTAACACAAATACATTATTCCCATGCATGTTTATTATGTGCACACAGCAGTCAACCTTCAAGTCCTCTCCCCCAGTCCTTCCAGCAAACTAGGAATCCTCTTTGCCATAAAAACGTACCCTTTTCTCTCAATAAATCTATTCCTTAGAAGGAACCTTTGCCTTGAGAGTCTCATTTTTCATTTATTTCATTAGTTTCCATCTCAGATAACTAAATTCTCTTTTATTACAGCTGGGAATTTTTATAATGTGCAAATTGAAATAATGATTGTATCACAGTACTCTGCAAGTGGTTTTCATTAAGCCTCTAGCTACTATTCCTTGCTCTGTTGGATATCTTTGTGTCAGGGTTACTTTATACCGGACAGAAATTTGAACAATTTATGTTGAAAAGAATGACTAAAAACCTATTAGATAACAACCTTTAAAATGCACTGGTTGATGGAGCTTAATTGCATGTTCTTGTCATAATCAAAATACCTCAATTGCTTAAAACTTAACAATCATGCTAAAAATTGCACCTGTGAATATATTCTGGAGATTCACATTTCTGAAAATCAAAATTACTACTTGTCTGTACAATTCTATGTAAGCACACACACAGTGCCAGAAATAAATTTACATTTCTGAGACGCTACACTACAACATTTTGCTTTCTTGTCAACAGAGTGACTAAATTCATACTCTATGTTCAAGTAGGATTTTCTGGTTAATTTTAGTGACTTAAAATAGTTCAGAACCATTTGTGTGGCTTGTTGAAATTTACAGCATGCCTACACTGTTGATCACCAGACTCATCTTGCTACTTTGTCATTCTGTATTGCCTATTGGTAAATGAGTTTGCTAGCGTATATTCCCATTGCTGCCAGGGTCACCAGAAGTCTGAATGAACACATAAAGAGTCCACTTAATTGCAAAGATTTATAGCTATACTGTTTTCTTTTCTCCCTTTCCACTCAAACTTGTCTCCCATGTCTGACATGTATAGAAAAGGGAGAGCTGCTTATTCTAGTCAAAATCGGCAGCAGACAAGGATCACAGTTTTGCAGGGATTCCTTATTTCTACTGCTAGTGCATAGGCAACAGAGAAGCAGTTTTCTAATCCACCTTAGACAGGGTACTGAACCAAAGAAAAATGCTATGTCAATATAATATCAGCCATCATCAGTCTGCAATGAAGCAATGAGTTACATGACTGGCGAAAAAGCATAACCTGTATAACTTCCAGAAGCAACAAGCTGTTCATTTTGATTTAAGATACCACGCTCTCTAAGGTGGAAGACAGGTGAACTATTACACAATAAACAGATGAGAAAATTTTAAGTCTTGGAAACTCAGAAGCAAAAAGTTGCCATTTGAAAATCTGCCTCTGCCTGCCCAAAGAGCCTGCTGTTTGAACCAAGTATAATTTCTATGTCAAACTAAAGCCTTTTCCCCTATCTTATTTATGGCTCTGCTACAAGTTTGGGTAGCAGAGGAATCAATCAATTCCAACCAACCAGTGAGATGACTTTGGGAGCTCTGGGGATAAAAAAAATCCGCCCAAACAGTTTCTGAGTTTCTGATTGAACACAGTTATTCCAAAGAGCACAATTTACACACTGAAAACTTACCAACGGAGCGATGAATGCAGGTATGCTGGTTATCACTCAGAAAAAAGCCCTCTTTGCACTGACATTCATAGCTGCCCATAGTATTTACACAAATCTGCTGGCACCCTCCATTGTTATCCTGACACTCATCAACATCTAGAAGAGAGAAGGAAAAAGAAATGCAAGATAATGTACAGATTCAGAATACACATCTAGAAGAGCAAGGAATCCACGAAAAGGCACACTGTAAATTCAGCTAATGAAAACTACCCGAACCCCATCAGAGTTAATCCAAATTAATCCATCTAATTCTTTTTCCTGCATCCTAGGTTTAAACTTAACATAAAAAAAACAGTGGGGAGGGGAGTCCAGCTAAGTCTCCATGCATTCTGAGCTGCAAATTGATTTCCAATGCACAATGAATGTTAACGTCCTAAAAAGGCTGTGACCCCATCTGCCAAGTGCGGTGTTGCACTCTGTCATTCCCACTCCACTTGGAAAGACATACTTCAGGCCTACAGTAATTTCTAGCAGGGGTAGCAGGCAAACACAAAGGGCATTACTGGGTGAAAAGAGTCTTTATAGAGTTCTGGTCTTGAACAGAACAGCATGTTTCAATTACTGGAGTCATAACCCCCTACTTTGTCAGTTTGTTTAATGTTGTTTAATGAAAAGAAGGCTTCTTAAATCTAAATGTTCCACGTCTGTATTGTCATTTTAATAGGCAAATATATAAAACCACAAAGGCAGCATTAGCTACTGGCTGTTTTGAGGGTCCCTGCCTACCCCCAATCACCTCTCTTTGGCATAAAATTTTTATGCTGTTGTGTTTAACAGAGACATATGTTTCAGCATTGGGAAACCACTGCCGCTAAAAGATATCTGACCCACTTTCAACCTTGCAACTCTCCTGTTTTGTTCATAAAAGGTCTATCATATCCATTTTCTGTTCTTTCTTTGAATAAAAGCCACTTGCCACCTGAAAAATCCATGTTTTCCTTTTTTATGGAGACTCCGCAACCAGTTAGCTATTTCACAGTATGTGACAACATGTCAGCAAATGAGTTGGTGTGTGTTTTGCTTTTGTTTTGTTTTTTTTTTCTGGGGGGGAAACACAACAAAGCTAAATGATCCACAACATTCAAAACCTCAGAAGAGCTGGCACAGCTCCTGCAGAAATTAATTCCTCCAGGACTGGCCACAATACACTAAGGTGAAACCAGGCTGCTTTTGCCAGTACTCTTGCAGGCAAGGCCAGGAAGCTCTGAAATGCTGGAGAAACTCAGCCGGTAACTAACGCAGGAACGCCGGCTAGTTCCAGGAGCTTGCTTGACTAAGCCTGCTATTGCTCTTTGTGCTGGTGTGCTGCCTGCACTTCATGAGACAGAAATTGTAGCTCTTTCTCACAGAGAAAAAAGGCTCTAGGGTAATTACAGCAGTACCCAGGGAAACCAGGCAGTCTCCTCCTGTCTTGAACTACAATGCAAGTGTGTAGACAGTCCTTCTCCTTTTTTTATTTACCAGGAAACGTTAAGCACTATTGCCTCACATTTTCTGCATCAAAATCCTCCCTGCCCTCAGTTCTTACTCTCTTCCAGATTTGAACCTTTTCATAACCCCATCAGAGCAGTTTGGGAGGGCATAGGAAAAGGAGAAGTGAAGACTTTCCTTGCCTACTGTAGTATAAGAAGGAAAGATAAATAAGACTTTGTGAGACCCTTCCTCTGTGAGTCAGCAGGCCTTACTGCCCTATTAGTGCCAACTCAAACTTGTTCCTTCAAAACAGCACACTGGAATCTAGATCCTCCTCTCTGGAAGATTAGTTGAACACTTACTGAAGGAAAAAGTCTCAGTTGGTACATGTACAAACCCCAAAATTTTGCTACAAAGTACGCGGCCTTCCCAGCGTTCTGTTTATACTATCACAAAGCAACTTGAACAATTGCCTTCCAGCTCTGATGAATAATCTGAAACAAATGCAATGATTTATAAACATTTTTTTCTGCTCTTGACAGCAAATGCTGGTGATTTACCACTTCCGTAAAGAGACAGCTCAATTTACCACCAAGCCCCAAATCCATATGCTGGAATAAAAGTTATTACAATTTAAACTCTTTAAAAAGCTTTACTATGAGGAATTTCTTCTAATTGTTTTCAATTACTTGCCTCAAAATTATTTTAATATGTATTTATGAAGAGGAGTTGAAGAAAGGGAGCAGCTGGGATCTAGGACTACTATATCTCTGTCTCCGTACTACATGCCTTCCAATAAATCTTGGCCTGGTGGTATAGGATTAACGATTTCTCTTCTCAGGCCTCAATCCTACTAGGGTCAGGCTTTTTGGAGCACTTTGTATTACTGCAGTCTTAAAAGGCAGTACTGCTTATTATCCACCGTATCAAGCAATCTATTGGACATGGCTGCCTGGAAAATATTTACTGAATTATTTACTTGGCAAACTTTCTTTCCAATAAAGTCACTTTATGATCAGCCTATTACTAACCCAGTTTAGAGAATGGGGTAAAAAAGTCTTCTGAAGTTAGGAGAGAGAACTCCATCGACTCCAATGAGCTCAAGCTTTGGTAGATCAGGCAGAATAATTGCTTCGTGCATCTGAATTTTTTCAAAGCTCACAAATGAAATAGCTGCCAAAGAGGCTTTTTCTTTCTTTCATTGTTTGTGCAACCCTCGTTCAATGCAGCTCAAGTTACCCAGCTGAACGTGTAAACATCAGTAATGCAGCATATGTGAGACTGCATTTTGGACCAGATTTTCTAGAGATTAAGCTCCACACAAACACCAAAATAAGTAGCCAGGTTTTCAATAAAGCTCTTCTGGCTCCAGTTTTGGAGGCTCTACATGTCAAATTGAGCAGTTGACTGTTTTGAAAAACTGAGGGTGGATTCTCAGGAGCTTTAATTGTTGCCACTCTGTGTGACAGTTTACACCTGCTGGAGACCTGCACCCCAGGGCCTAACTCTAGATAGAGGAAAAAAGTCACTTATGATGTAAAATCCCTTCACTCAAACATCTACTCTAAGCCCTGACTAAACCCGTTTTAAAAACTTTTAAACCTATTGAGCACAAATACAAAGCTCACTTTCTTTATTACTCTACTCTTTATAAAAATGAGTATTTTTTTTTTTAGAGCAAACAGACATGTCTTCTTTGGCAACCTTTTGCACAAAATCAGCTACCGCTGGTCATCTTTTCCAGGACCAGGGTTGTCTCCCTGAGGACAGCAGCCCCAAGGCAGCAGGTGCAGGTCTCCCTTCCTTTAAACTGGTGTATGGAAACTCAAATCCATTTCCTAGGCTCCTTATCTGGCAACAGTTCTTTCATCCAGCTTGGCCTCATCACCTGACAGTGTGCTGATTCCTAGAGTACATTATCCACTGCTTACAGGAGAGGTGAGACTCAAAATCCTACTGATGATCCCAGGGTGGAAGCTGGAGCAAGGTTTCAGCAAACCTACACAATCCAAACTCACAAAAAGATGTAAAGAGGTTCTCATCTGAGCTGAGCTCAGATGATTATCCCACATGGCTGCTCCAACCCTCATCCTCAAAAAGAGGAGGAAAAACTAGGAGAAAGTGAATATATGTCCTTAAGCCATTCTCTGTAACCCTCATCACAAAGAACTGCCCTGTGATTACATCTACCAAAGACAATCCCTGACAGAAGCATCTAGAAATAACTCAGTTTCCACAGCCCTTAACTACTCCTTACCAGCACAAATAAATAGCTAAGATGACAATCAGCACAAGAGCTAGAATTGCTTATACAGAGTTTAGACCAGAGTGACAAACCTATGTTTCCAGGGAGATGAGGGCCTGGACTTCAAATTGGCCAGTCATCATCAAGGACAACAAGGAACAAGGGAAGAGCCAGCTCAGGGGGAGGCTGGGAAAGGAGAAGTATCTTTCAAAAGAGAAGGAGAGATAATGGATGCATATATACATACATACATATATAGATATATCTATATCTATATATCAGAAGCATTATGAAAATTAATGCATACATGAATTTGCATAAGATCTCTAGCTTTTTAGCCCACCGCCTTCACATAATCAAACTTGTGTTCTGTATCTTGGTAAGATGAGATCCTCTAGAGAGCGGTAGTGTGGAACAGTATCAAAGGGTAGGAAACATTACAGTTGATAAGGATGGATGTTTTATTTATTAAATAAACAAATGCTTTCGGGTTCTCATTTAATTTATCTGATGAACTTTTCAAACTAGCTCCACTGGTATTTCACCCTGATCTGACTCAGAGCTTCCCGCAGTATTTGGCCTAAAGAAGCTATTCTGATCAAGTGTCTTGTTTGGATACCATCGAGGGAGAAAGGTCTGCTAAGGGTACCTGAAACCAAAACCACAAGCAGGAAGATACAAAAGTGGAAATGCTACACAGAGTCAATGTCAAGAACAGTATGCCCACTATCCACTTCCTCCCATGATCTTCTCTTCCTTCCTTCTGACATTTTTCTTTCACGTCAGCATTTTCATAAGCACTTAAGCCCCTCAGAAATTTGAGTCTCATCTTCAAAGTCTCCAAAGCATTTGGGAGCCACAGTACAATTCACTTATTATAGCATTAAGATTCTTTGGAGACTTCTCAAAACAGGACTTTGACTCATGATCCAGGGAGCTGATTCTTCTAGTTTTTCTCTAAGCTACTCTTTCTTTAAAACTTTCGGAAGACTTCTCTAAGATGCCTATTTTACCAGTGCAGAAAGACGTGATAGAGATATGAACTACTGATAGCAATACTGCAGACTTTCCTCAAATGTTAGCAAGAAAACACTGCTGAGGATATCTTGTATTTGTAAGAGAAATGATTAGTTACTGCAAACTCAGAAAATATGAGTGCCTGATTCTGGAATTTTAAAATCATTACATTCTGAATATTTCTAGTCAGAAAGCTGGCTGAAAGTCTCATTAAAAAATCACATTCCTGGATTTACCGTAGTCACAGTTCTATCAAAAGAACATCTAGCCCAGCATCCTCTCTTTGACACTCTTTGATACTCAGGAGAAGACTGTAGAGATGGGACAGAACCATTGCTGGCATGCTCTCCCAGCTTTCAGCAATCGCGTACCTATTAACCTTCCTAAACCACTTGCTAGACCATTGTCACTGCTGGATCTT